TAGGGAAGTTGGGGCACCACCCCCTGTCACACACAGAGCAGGGCGGATCAGGGGGTTGGGGCACCGCACCCTGTCACACTCAGGGCAGGGCCGATGGGGAGATTATAGCTCTACCCCGTCACACACAGAGCAGGGCCCGTGGGGGGAGAGGGGCGCCGCCACTGTCACACTCAGGGCAGGGCCGATCGGGAGGTTATGGCTCTACCCCGTAACACACAGAGCAGGGCCCGTGGAGGGGGGGGAGGGTTGGGGCGCCGCACCCTGTCACACACAGAGCCGCAGGGTAATCAGGGGGTTTGGGCGCTCTGCTGGTCCCGGTGCTGGGAGGCATATTACCCTTTTACTATATAGGATAGAGGCCTGGTGCACAGGTGGGGGCTGGCTGGTTTGCCCTGATGGGTGTCCTGGATCAGGGTGGGGGTCCTGCTTGGGTGCCTGGCCAGCCTGGGTGAGGGGATGATGGCTGTTTGCATCTGGTCACACCCCCTTCAGGGTGGGGGTCCCCACTGGGGTGCCTGGCCAGTCTGGGTGAGGGGCTGAGGGCCGTTTTCAGGCTGGCGAGTGACTGAAGCTCCCAACCTCTCCTTTTTTTCTTTTTTTTTTTATTCTGGGCCAGCTTTAGCTCTGAGGCTTGGCTCCAGCTCTGAGGCCTCGGCTGCTGAAAGCAGGTATCTGGTTTGTTTGGGTTCTATAATCGAAACACTGTTTCAACTCCAGCTCTGAGATCCCGGCTGGCTGAAAGCAGGTTTCTGGGGTTTTGTTTAGCTTCTATATTTGTAACAATGTTTCAAACTGTAAGCTCAGAGGCCGGCAGCAGCAGGTGGGGAACGTTGGCTTCCTCCGTCACTGGAGCAAGCAAGCCTCCTGTTTGCTTCAAGCTGCCTGGCTGCCGGCCGCCATCTTGGCTGGCAGTTAATTTGCATATCACCCTGATTAGCCAATGGGAAGGGTAGCGAGGTACGGCTAATTACCATGTTTCTCTTTTATTAGATAGGATAGTGGATATGGTGAGGTAAACACAGACTTATTCACTAGCCTGCAGAGTTCTGAGGGACTGAGAGAGGGCCCTGTGGTTGCTGTTCTTGATTTCTCTCCCTCTCCTCTTGGTCTCTCTGGTTTTATTTACAAAGCCTGTGATCCTGTTGGTCTGCTGGCCTGACAGGGATAGGAAGAGTGTTGTTAGCAGCCTATGATTTGATTCCTTTTGCTAGCAGCTCTCGCTTAAGAGTTTTTCCAAAGCAATCCTCTCACTTTGGAAGTAGGTCTTTTATTTTTTCATTTGTTTGAGGGGATTAAAATTGCCTCTTGTGAATTTGTGTGAGGAAAACATAAGCTATATGAATTGAGAACATATATAATTACAATGATGGTAAGATGAAATAAAAAAGAATTGGATTTTAGGTTTTAAACTTTTAGCTAGGAATGATAAGACAGTAGCTTGTTTAAATTCTCTTCTAATGCCACAAGAATGTAAGTTCCATGAGGTTGGAGATTTTTGTGTTTTGATTACTACTATATTCCCATCATCTAAAAATAGTGTCTGGTACATAGTAGGTGGTTCAATAAATATATTAACAGAAACCTTGATCTACTTGTCGGCCATATGACTGTGTGGGTACATACAGTACCCATATAAGTAGAGTCCTGATTATTTATTTCAATTTCCTAAGCTCTGGTGGGAGAGTGAGCACAGTGAAAATATGCTGCAACCAATTATTATTCTAAAAACCATCTCTGACCTCTGAAATACCAACTTTTCCTTTTTCTAATTTTAGAATTTCACATGAGAAAGACCTTAGGAAAATTAAGGATACTTAAAATATTAAAAAACTGGAAAACAGGATATATTCTATTAGTTGAAGATATATACAAAACACTAATAATGGACGGGTGCTATGACCCTGGGTTAAATAGAACATCAATGCTTATCAAGTATTAAGCCATAGGTAGACAATGTAACTTTTTATTCCATTTACTCATTCAACAAACATTTAATTGTATGCTTATAATGCACTAGCACTATTGGCGATGGGAATAAAGCAATGAAAAAGGAGGGCCCTTGCCCCCTCCAAGCATTATTATCACAAGAAGAATAACATTCAGATCATGTTTTAACCATTTCACACAGAATTATGATAACAGGGAGTTCAAGTCCAGATTCTTTTTATTATTGGCTTGATTGAAGGAACAAAGAGGAAGAATTTCAAATAAGATAAAATGAATAGTTGTATTTTACTTTGGATTAGCCTTATTTTATAAAAAGGAGGATTTTAAAGAGAAATTTGTGAAACAATAAAATAACAGCAATGTAATGAACTTTAGAAAAAGGAAAAGTTATGTAAGTATTAAACTACAATTCTGGTTAAGCCATTTTAATAACAACAACAACAACAACAACAACAACAACACTATTTTACCTTGATTAAGTGCTTACTTTGTGCCAGGAACTGTTTTGTATTATCTCATTTAATTTTTAAATATAATCTTATTAACTCATTTTAAAATGGCAGTTATCCAATGAGGTGGGTATTATTAGTTCCAGTTACAGATAAGAAAACCAACACTTAGAGAAGTCAAGTAACTTAAGGTCACAAGGATGATAGGCAGGCAGCTGGGCATCTAACAGTTCTGACAGATTCAAAGCCTATGCTCCTCCCACCACACTTACCTCCCTTCCCACCCTTTCCTTCTGCTGTGCTAGCCAGGCAGAGTAGGGGAAGAACATTATGCACGGCAGAACTAGCCAGTCAACTGTCCAGAGGTAGTAAAACGAATTTTAAAGGATTAAAGGAAGACCAAATACACACTGTGGGAGAAAGTGAGTGGTTCTAAATGAGACTGGAGGTAGGCAGGGGCTAGGTTATTGTAGGGTCTTATAAACAATGTTGTGGATTTGGGATTTTAGCCTACCTGCCGAGATAAAAACCACTGAAAAATTTTAAGCAGGCAAGTTATTCGATCAAATGTATATTTTAAAAAGATCACTCTGACTGCCTATAGAAAATTAGTCAGAAGAAAAGTTGGGAGGCCATTTCAATAGTTTAGGCAAGAGATGATAGTACTTGGTGGAGATAATGAGAAGTGAATAAACTGGAGAAATATTTAAGAAGTAGAGCTGACAATATTTGGTGATGGATTAGAAGACAGTGGTGGGGAAAAAGAATCAGGATTACTTCTGGGATTCCAGTCTTGATATCTTTTAGATTTTGGGAGACAGAGAAGGAAAGAAATTTAACATTAACCAGAGAGCAAGATTAATACAGTTAAGTCCTCCCTTAACATCATTGATGGTTTCTGTGACTTTAGTGAAATGACATAAAACAAAACCAGTTTTACCACTGGCCAATTGATACAAAAAAGCATTATGTTCCTATGGCATCTCATCAACATCATGATGAAATGAGGGGTTTAACAAAAGGACATTATTGGAAGACCTGCTCTACTCAGTCCTTCTAGATTATTTTAGTATCTGTTTACCCAAAAGTCATTGTATTAGTTTCCTTGGGCTGCTCTAACAAACTACTACAAATGGCGTAGATTAAGACAACAGAAATTTATTCCCTCCCAGTTCTGGAGGCTAGAAATTCTGCAGCACACCAAAAAATATATTATTTGTCCATCTGACAAAAAGTAGGATGATTTCACCTCCAATTGAATCTACAAACTGGATCTGTTTCCACATACGGTCACATTCTGAAACTTCAGGTGGATGTGAATTTTTGGGGAACACTATTTATCTCACTACATGCACCATTACTTTTATTGAATATATTTCTCTGGCTCTTATTGTAATCATTAGCATCATCCTCATCAATACTATATTTACCATAGCCCTTAATTAGCACCTGCTAGGCAAGAGGTATTGCTCTGAGGTCTTAATATAAATTTGTGTCAGGAGTCACAAGTGTTAGGAGACCCCAAGATCACACCTAAGTTCACTAGGAGGACTCATGGGGCCAGCAAAGAGTTTTACTCACTTATGACTTATTACAGCAAAAGGACACAATGCAATAGCAGCAAAGGGAAAATATGCTTAGGGTAATTCCACAGGAAACAAGGTACAAGTTGCCAAGTGGAGTCACAAAGGACACACTTAATTCATCCAGCATCTGTCTATGACAATATGTGTAAAGTGTTGTCTATTGGAAAGCTCATTAGAGACTTAATACCCAAGTTGTCATTGTGGGCTGATTATGTAGACACCCTCTGCCGAGAACATACCAAAACTGCAGACTCCCACAGCGAAATCAGGTGTTCAGAATGAACCACATCGTACAAACACTCTAGGTACACAGTGATTCATTTGATCAGTTAGGGAATATAGAACACTCCTGAAATTCAAGTTTCCAGATGTCAGCCAAAGGCCAACTTTGAAAGCAGGTCTTTCTAAGGTTACAAGTTTCGGACCTACTGTGTTAGCTCTTTTCTGCATATATTATTTCATTTTATCCTTACAACAAAGAAATTAAAGTTCCTGAGCTTAGACAATGTTTCCAAGATTATACTACCACAGGTTAGTAGTAGACAGAGAAACTAGAATTCAAAAGTAGTTAATCTGTTTCTAGATCTCTACTATTATCAACCAGGCTTGACTACCTGGTTTTGAGAACTTAGTAAAATGAAAAATGAAAAAAAAAGGAAGTTACAATAGACTCACATTAGAATGAACTCACAAAAACAAGTAGCAAGAAAACTGTAAAGTAATTAATAAAGTAGCCATTATATAACAAAATTTCAGTAAAAATAAATCATGGGCTAAACACATTAATATATATATCTTAATGACCTTTAATATTTAAGAAAAAATTATCAGCATATTAGCAAATTTAATATTTTAGGAAGATTAAAGAAAGTTAATGTTTTAACCAATTAACACAATTGAGGGATTAAGAGATTTAATTTTACCTTATTAGAGAAATTTTTAAAAAGTCAAAAAGGGTACATTTTTGTGATCTAGCAGAGAAAAGCCTATGAGGACTATTTTTTGTTTTATTTTTTACCTAATGGAATGATGTCCTGAAGTATAGTCCAGTTTTCCAAATTTTTGTGTTTGGTACCCGTGCTTCTCCATGATATCCATCCATGTTGTATAATTTGGATCTAGCCCCTTAAAGTTATTCCAAGATTCCGTTAAGTGAGTGAAGAGGCCACTCCACATTGCTGGGGGGGGGGGGGGGGGGAGAAGAAATAGAGATCAGTGTAAGCTTAAAAATTTGTGTTAACTATTAAGACAATTACTGCAAGAGAGAATAGAGTTTACTAGTTTAGAACTCATGCTCTGGAATAAAACATATCTGCATTAGGTGCTTCACCTAACATTTCTGATTACCTCGGAAACTCTGCAAAGAGTTACTATTTCCATTTTACAGGTGAGTCTCTAATGCTTATAGTTTACGTTGCTTAAGGTAAATACAGCTGGAATTAAATATAAGGCCTGTCTGATTCTAGAGTCATCTTTCAATCACAAAAATAATCACTAAGTAGTTCATGATTAATTATCTCATTTTCTACAACTATTTAGTCAATAAATCCTTCTTCAAATATTAACAGACCTATAGAGAAAAACAGACAGCAATACAATAGTACTAGGGTACTGCAATACCCCACTTTCAACAACAGATAGAAAATCAATAAGGAAACGCTGGACTTAAACTACCTGTAATACCAGATACACTTAACAGACATTTAAAGAACATTCCACCCAAAAGCAACAGAAAAAATATATTATTCTCAAGCACACATGGCACATTTCAGGATAGATCATATCCGAGGCTACAAAACAAGGCTTCATATATTTAAGAAGATTGAAATCATATCAAGCAATTTTCTGACTACAATGAAGAAAACTGGGAAATTCATAAATATGTGGAAATCAAGCAACATGCTACTGAACAACCAATGGGTCAAAGAAAACATCAAAAGAGAAGTCAAAATATATCTTGAAACAATTGAAAATGAAAATACAACATTCCAAAATTAATGGGATGCATAAAAAGTAGTTCTACTAGTAAGAAGGAATTTCATAGTGATGAACACCTACATTAAGAAAAAAGAAGAGCTCAAATAAACAATAACTGTACATCTTTAAGAACTAGAAAGAAAAAAAAAGCCCGAAGTTAGTAAGAGAAGGAAATAACAAAGATCAGAGTTGAAATAAGTGAAATAGAGACTGGAAAGACTGATAAAACTAAGAGTTGGTTTTAAAAAAGACTAACAAAATAAACCTTAAGCTAGACTTTCCTAGAAAAAGAAAGGACTGAAATAAATACTATTAGAAATTAAAGGTAGATGTTACATCTGATACCACACAAATACAAAGGATTATAAGAGACTACAATGAAGTTATATGCCAAGAAATTTGATAACCTAGAAGAAATGGAAAAATTCCTAGAAACATACAACCAAACAATTCTGAATCATGAAGAAATAGAAAATCTGAACAGACCAATTATGAGTAAGGAAATTGACTCAGTAATAAAAAACCTCACAACAAAGAAAAGTCCAGGACCAAAACTTAAAAAGAGAATACCAGTCATTTTCAAACTCTTCAAAAAAAAAAAGAGGGAACACTTCCAAACTCATTTTACAAGGCCAGCATTACCCTCGTACTAAAACCATACAAGAACAATACAAAAAAATATCATAGGCCAATATCCCTGATGAACAGAGATGCAAAAATTCTCAACAAAATATTAGCAAACTGAATTCAACAGTACATTAAAAGGATCATACACCATGATCAACTGGACTTTATTCCAGGAATACAAAGATGGTTTAAAATCCACAAATCAATGGATTGTCAGAAAGAAAAATTAAGAAAAAAATACCATTTATAATTGCATCAAAAAGAATAAAATACCTAGAAATAAATTTAACCAAGGAGGTGAAAGATATGTACATTAAAAACTGCAAGATATGGTTTAAAGAAATTGAAAAAGACACAAATAAATGGAAAGATAATATGTGCTCATGGACTGAAAGAATTAATATTCTTATAATGTCCATACTATCCCAAACAATCTACAGATTCAATGCAATACCTATCAAAACTTCAATGGCATTTTTCACAGAAATAGAATAAACCAGCGGTTCTCAACCTGTGGGTCGCGACCCCTTTGGAGTCGAAAGACCCTTTCACAGGGGTCGCCTAAGACCATCGGAAAACACATATATAATTACATATTGTTTTTGTGATTAATCACTATGCTTTAATTATGTTCAATTTGTAACAATGAAAATACATCCTGCATATCAGATATTTACATTATGATTCATAACAGTAGCAAAATTACAGTTATGAAGTAGCAATGAAAACAATTTTATGGTTGGGGGTCACCACAACATGAGGAACTGTATTAAAGGGTCGCGGCATTAGGAAGGTTGAGAACCAATGGAATAAACAGTTCTGAAATTTGTATGCAACCATATAAGACCCCGAATAGCCACAGCAATCTTGAGAAAAAAGAACAAAGTTAGAGGCATTACACTTCCTGATTTCAAACTATATTACAAATCTATAATCATCAAACTAGTATGTTATTGTTATAGAACAGACACATAGATCAATGAAACAGAATAGACAGCCCAGAAATAAACCCATGCATATTTCGTCAATTAATTTATGACAAAGGAGCCAAAAATATACAATGGGGAAAGGCTAGTCTTTTCAATAAATGGTGTTGGGGAAAGTGAACCTTTATCTTACACCATACACAAAAATCAACTCAAAATGGATTAAACACATGGACATAAAACCTGAAACCATGAAATTTTTAGAAAACATAGTAGGTAAGGTCCTTGACACTGATCTTGACAATAAGTTTTTGGATTTGACACCAAAAGCAAAGGCAAGAAAAGCTGAAATAAATAAATGGGACTATATAAAAGTAAAAGCTTCTGTTCAGCAAATAAAACTATCAATAAAATGAAAAGGCAACCCATGATTGGGAAAAATAATTTTTAAATCATCTGTTGAATAGGAGTCAATATTCAAAAAATATAAAGAACTCAACTCAATAGCAAAAAACAAGAAACAAACAAAAAAAACACACTGATTACAAAATGGGCAGAGGATCTGAATAAACATTTTTCCATTGAAAACTTAGAAATGGCCAACAGGTACATGAAAACATTTTCAATACTACTAATCATGATGGAAATGCAAATCAAAACTGCAATGAGATATTACCTTGTGCCTGTTAGAATGGTTACTATCAAAAGACAAGAGATAACAAGTATTGGCTAGGATATGGAGAAAAGAATACCCAGCAAAACCCTCATGCATGGTGATGGGGATCTAAATTGGTGAAACCCCTATGGAAAATTGAGGAAGTTACTATGGAGGTTCCTAAAAAAATTACACCAGAAAAATCATATAATCAATCCAACAACTCCACTTCTGGGTAAACATCTGGAGCAAATTAAGTCACTAGCTCAAAGAAATACCTGCACCCCCACGTTCACTGCATTATTTACAATAGCCAAGACAGAAACAACCTAAGTATCCATCAAGAGATGAATAAAATCAATGTGATGTGATATCTACCTATCTATCTATCTATCTATCTATCTATCTATCTATCTATCTATCATCTAATATTCAGCTATAAAAGATCAGGAAATCCTGCCTTTTGCGACAATGGATGCACCTTGAGGGCATTATAGTAAATTAGGTAAAGTACTGAATACTGTACCATCTCACATATATGTGGAATCTAAAAAGAACCAAATTCAACTGCCTACTGCCTATGGTTGCCAGAAGTGGGGGTTGAGGCTGGTGGGGGAGGTGGGGTGCAGGGGAGAGGAGTGAAAACATGTGAATTTTTAGTTAAATATGTTCTGGAAATGTAAAAAAGTAACAACACTGTTTTTTAATATATCTGGCCCTTCATCATTGAAATGTAATTTATAATATAGTTCAGGATTCCTTTAATCATTGGTGATTATATAGTTGATAGTACTGAAAATGCAGGCAAAGAAACTTGTGACTCAAATTGCAGAGAATATCATGCTGGGAACTTACAGACAAAAACAAATTGTTGAATGCTATTTATGAGTTCCAAAGCAACCAATCATGTATTAGATTAGAATGAGGAAAACAACCGTCAGAGAAGAGACAGAAGATATAGTATAAGAATGGCAGTTTTTTCCCCATTTCTCAGTTATTCATGGCTTAATGTCACGGAAACAAGTTTTGCCATTAAAATCATACCTATTTGTTAAATTACTATAATAAAATTATTAGATTGGGATAGAAGTGAATTGAGCCTGAAGAGATGTAATCTGAAATAACATGGAAAACTTCAGATAAACCTGATTTATGACAAGTTCTAACTACTTTATGGTACATTCTGAAGTCCCCACCCAACTCCTTGTACTCTTACTGAAAAACTTCCTTGGAAATATAACTCTTCCAAGAAATATAAATATTTCCTCATTTGCTTGGTCAAAAGATTCTTAGTCACTCAAGCATTAGGAAATGAAATAGTAACACATGAACTAAACACCCATTTAAATGATAAAAACTCCTATTCTGGAAAAATAAATTAGAAAATCTAACCCCAATACCCAATACATACCTTAAAACCCAAAACACTTAAAATGTTTTTATTAAATGCCAAATATTACTTGCTATACTACTTTTGGGAATAATTTTAAATTGTAAAATTATTTTCAGTGTGTAGCCACATTCTTCCATTAATATTAAGCATGTTCATACCTGCACGTGATGGGCAGCAGATTGGAGAATTTGTGTAGGCATTCAGAAAGGAAGTGCCATGTGCTTTCATGAAGTTGATAAAAGGAAGTTTCACTACCTGACTTCCTGGATAAAATGTTAGCCTTCCATCCTGGAATGAAGAAATGTAATTAACAATGATCGCATCACGAAAAAAGAAAATTGTTTCCTTTAATTTTAACCTTAAAACTTATAAACATCAAAGGACTTCAATATGACCCTAAAATCCTCAACAGCTAAAAACAAGTATAGAAGGGCCATCAGTATCTGGCTCAAAACCCAGAGAATTTAATGCAGTGGTCCACTTAGATTCATTAGAATATAGTAAATAAATTAAAGGACTTTCTGAAAAAGCTCTTTTGGAGGATGATGGACTGATTGAACCAGTTTTTACTGAGTATTTACTGTGTGCCAGGGACTATGAAAGATCTGGAGATACAATCTGGAGATAAAACAGAATCCCTGGTGCCTTTCAAGTTTAATCTGGTGGGGGAGGCTAAAGTATACTGGAAAATAAAATATGAATAATTACAAATTGTGGTATGTGCTTTGAAAAAAAACCCGAGACACAGAATAACAAGGGAGACTTACTCCAGATAGAGTGGACAGGGAAGGTTTCTCTGGGAAGTATGAGACCTAAATAATGAGAAGGACCCAGCCATCGTTGGAAGTTTCTAGTATGTTGTGATGCACCAGCCACATTTCCTTTTAGAACAGAATACTGTCTCTGCTATAGAGTTTCCTTGCCCAAGACCATGCCCCATTCGGGGAGCAGCCCATAACTAATGGCCATCCAACATGCGGGCACCAAGGCCTGGCGCCTCCCCACTGGAATCAGTTCTGAGGTATCATACTAGTGTGAGAACTACCCACACGGTCAACCCAGGCCTCCATATCTACAGCAACAAGACCCAACTTTGCTCTGCACAATCCTGCGTCCTTCCTTTCCCTCTGATCTCAAGAGCACTCTTACATGTTACTCCCAATACTGCCTGTTCCGTAAGTTTACATAACCATAAAGATTACTTTAGTAATATTCTCTAGTCCGATGGGCATATCCAGATTATGTAACTGTAATCATCATGGGTCAGTCCGGGAGAAAGGCCATACAACAACGGTGATGAAAAGCACTCTAGTACCAGACAAGCTTAACACCAACTCTCTATGTGACCACACGGACTCCCAGGGATAATGAGCAAATGTCATAATTAGTAACCAAACATCTGTCCAGGCATTGGTTTTAAAATCATGGAATCATACTAAGTATCAGGTAATATTGATAGTAATATTCTGTTGATTGATGGCTTGGGGAAAGTTTCAAAAACTGTTCAAGTTTAGGATTCAACAACACGCACACAATTTCCCTGGAATATCATCAGGGAGTGAATCAAAGTATATCAACTAATGAACTTAAATCAGCACTAACAGGATTATCAGATACCTGGGCAAACAACAACAACAACAACAAAACAACACGTTAATTTTCTTCACTTCTCACGCAAACACAAATTCCTGCAAACTTGCGGTGAGTTGGGAAATGACCGCTGGAAAACTAACAAGCTTTTGTGGAGATGCAGAATGTTATTTTCTCTACTATTAAATCAAACGTGTTATAGACTGATCGTTCATTAATAGTGGTAAAATAGTTTAATGAATCGAGGCTAGCAATAAAAAAAATCAAAAGGTTTGCAAAGACGCTATCAGAGCACATTTTATTCACTAAAGTATTGTTTTATATGTATTATATGCATATCTAAGTGCTGTACGTGTGTGTATACGGGGCCTCAAGAGAAAATGCACTTTTTCCTTTTCATCAGGGTAAAACAAGTTTGCAAGTTTCAGATTCTGCTCCCCAAAGCCTGCAGCACAAGAAAGGCTGTGGGCGGGTAGCGGATCCCCGCCGCCCCGCCCTCCCCCGCCCTCCGCCGCCCCGCCGCCCCTCTAGGTACTTACGAAGGAGTCGCTAACCACTAGCACCACGTTAGGCGCATCGGGCCGCTCCTGAGCAGCTCCCCGCCCCTCCCGGCTAGTCCCGGGAGCTGGTGCTGCCAGCGCCGAGGCTGCGACCACCGACACGCACAGCAGCAGCATCGCAGAGAGAAGTTGGGAGCCCAGCCCCCGGGCGCCGGGCCCGCTTCCTCCCGCCGGGCAGAGGTGGGAGGGGCTAGCAGTTTGGTTTCCTCCCTGCGCTGCACCCGCAGGACTACAACTCCCATCGGGGTCAGAGTGAGCACATGCGCACAGGTGGACTTCTCCGCCCTGACTCGTTAAGACCTTTTAATCAAATACCGAGCAAACCAAGAGCAAGTCACTTCCAGTCACGTGAGCCATGCCTGGGGAAATGCGCATGCGCTCGGACTCCAGCCTAGTTTGTAGGAGGAGCAGCTGACCCAGGTGGGTTCGGGTCGCTGTGGCTTTGGCAGAAGTTGGGCTTGGTGGGCGGTGGAAATGGTTGAAATGAAAACGTAGAGAGAGCGAGGGTCAGGGGCCGAGGGTGCTCGTTTTGCGCTGAACAAGCGTGGCTGAGTTGTCAGCGGGACCGTGAAGCGGGGAGGTGATGAGGTGGCGGCGCGTCTGTCACTTGGGTTGGCTCGGTGGCTCTTTGGGGGGCCTCGGACTGGACCGCCGCAGGTGCGATCTGGTACCGTGGGGCCCTCGAGTCCATTCCCCCAGGGGAATTTGCAGTCGGCCTCATCGTACTCCTGCCTTCGCCGGTGCAGCCGGGATTCACTGTACTCCGTGGGTGAGGAGCGGGGCCTGGGACGGGGGAAAGCTTCGGTGCGCCTAGCTTTCCGAGCGCAAAGGAGAGAAGCGAGCCGCTGTCTCGTGGCGGAAGAGGTGTGGTTCTGTGTGACCGGAGCGATTCACTGACGTAGGTTTGGAACCCATTGTTTTGCTGCAGAAGAATCACAGGTCCTTCTTGACAGTTGAAGTCCTTTGGGAAAATCTGGAAGAAACGGATTTCTGTCCCAGAGCCAAGTCCCTGATTTCATTGTCATAGTTTCAGGTATATAATTTGTACTTCATGTTAATCGCATCAATTTTACAGGGAAAGGAGGAGTTGCAGTACTTAGTTAACATAAAACCAACTCAATACTAACATCTGTTTTTGCACAAAATAACGGTAGTAAGGGACAGACCTTATTCAATACACTAGAGGCCTGGTGCACAAAAATTTGTGCACTAGGGGGCGGGGGGCAAGGGGGTCTCTCAGCCCGGCCTGTGCCCTCTCGCAGTCTGGGACCGCTCGGGAGATAAGGACCTGCTGGCTTAGGCCTGCTCCCGGGTGGCAGAGGGCAGGCCCAATCCCTAGGTGCAGCCCCTGTTCGGGCTCAGAGCAGGGCCGATTGGGGAGTTGTGGCGCCGCCCCCTGTCATGCACAGAGCAGGGTGGATCGGGAGGTTGCGATGCCACCCCTAGTCACGCTCAGGGTAGGGCCAATTGGGGGGTTGGGGCACCGCCCCCTTGTCACACTCAAGGCAGGGTCGATGGGGAGGTTGCGGTGCCACCCCCTGTCACTCACAGAGCAGGGCCCATCATGGGGGTTGGGGCTCCGTACCCTGTCACACACAGAGCAGGGCCCATCAGGGGGTTGAGGAGCTCCCCCCTGTCACGCACAGAGCAGGGCCCATCAGGGGGTTGAGGAGCTCCCCCCTGTCACTCATAGAGTAGGGCCGATAGGGGAGTTGG